GTCGTCAGAGAAAAATTAGGAGACACCAAATTGCACCAGACATTGACCAACGTTGTTATTCCTACATTTGACATCAAAACCCTCCAGCCAACCATCTTTTCCTCATATGAGGTTCCTTTTCCTCTTCAAAAGCCACCTTAATTTTAAGTTTTTTACAATTTACCTACCTTTACCAAGCAAAATGAACTCTAAATTTCTTATTATTAATTTGATTTCGTGTGTGGACTGTGGACCAGGTGAAGAGAAAGCCATCTTTAGATGCCTTACTCTCAGATATATGCATTGCAACCTCAGCTGCGCCGACTATTCTTCCAGCCCACTATTTCACCACCAAAAACACCGTCGGAGAGGTTATCAGAGAATTCAACCTCATAGATGGTGGTGTTGCAGCCAATAATCCGGTAAATATTTATATATATCTCTCTCTCACATGCATGACGTGGTTTTTATCCACTAACAATTATGCTTACATATCTTTTTTTTTTTGGTTAATTTGATTCCTTGTAGACATTAGTGGCTATGGGGGAAGTGACGAAGGAGATAATCGGAGGAAGCCCCGACTTCCTTCCAATGAATCCGTTTGATTACACAAGATTTCTGGTTATATCGTTGGGAACTGGCTCAAAGAAATTAAGCGAAGAGAAATACACTGCAGACGAAGCGGCGCAATGGGGTATACTGAGTTGGCTAACCAACGGCGGTTCCACCCCTTTAATCGACGCATTCTCTCAAGCCACTGCCGATATGGTCGACTTACACATCTCCGCCGCGTTCAAGGCCCTACAATCTGAAGGCAATTACCTTCGTATTCAGGTACCATATCCACACACATATGTATATACATACATATAAGCTCTAGTTAAATTTTCTTTAATTATTTGTTTTTGTAACATCAGAAGAATAATTAAATTGAGTATCTCACAGTTAAATCTTAAAACAAAAAGTGAAATTTAAAAAAAATGAGAGAATTATCGTCTCATATAATTTATAATTAGATGTAAAAACATCAACATGTAATTAATATAATTGTCATTTATATGTGTGCAGGATGATACATTGAAGGGGGTTGTATCTTCAGTTGATGTAGCGACCAAGAAAAATTTGGATGATCTTGTGAAAGTCGGGGAAGAACTGTTGAAGAAGCCGGTTTCTCGGGTTAATTTGGAAACGGGTTTGTATGAGCCATTTGACAAAGGATCCAACGAAGAGGCACTGAAGAGGTAATTAATAGAAGACTGTATTTGGTCCCCTTTGAATTTGAATATTTTTTAGAAAATTTTTTTCTTATGCAATATAGTTTTCCGTTTTGGTACTTATTGCCATTATTTATTTATTTATTTTTGGATGTTGCAGGTTCGCAAAAGTGCTATCAGAAGAGAAGCGGCTTCGTGATCTTAGGTCACCCCATGGGCGGGCTGCAACTCCAAATGGTGTTAAAAATTAATTAGTGATTCATTTAACATTAAAGAATTAGGGATATTTTTTTTGTTTGTTAGGAACCAAAATGTGGGTTAATTAAACCCTCTGGTATACGTGGTTCTTTAATTAATTATGATTTGTTGTATGTTTGAATAACTCCTGGATTGTGTGGGACACAATTTGTTCTGTACTAAGTACAAAAAATATTGTTTGATCCTTTTGGGTTTGATGAATAAAAGTGAGTTCCTTGAGGCTTCTTCTGATATGCATTTACAAGGGAGAATGTTGTTGAAAGAAGAAACAAAAATGTTACTCCACGTAATCTTATCATGTAAAACAGAGACTCGCGCAATTCTAGCTCTTTGAACTTGCATGACGATGTTATTTTATTTTATCCATTTTAAGTAGTATATGCTGTATATATTTTCATAAGAACTAAATCCGTTAATTTGGATTTCTGGGGTCCAAGCAACGAACACAATTTTTTTTAATTTTTTATTTTTGATAGTTAGTATGTCTTTATATCAGTTTTTTCACATAAACTAATTCGTTTTTGGGTAATGTTAATGATGCAAAAAAATTAATTTCCTGTTAGTTGTAAGACTTAAAGTTGAATCTAATTTACAAGATAATATTTGTTTACAAATAGATACAAGGGTAAACTAAGAAATAGTGACTGACCTTTATCATGACTTTCAATTTAGTCACTCTTCTTTAAAATTTGTAAATTTAATCACTCACCTTTGTTTTACATTCTCCAATTAATCACTGTCTATTATCTCTTTCAATTGTCGTTAAGTGAAGACATGGCATAGGCCAAGAAAAAATTGATGACTTGGTGCTTACATGGAAGTTGGATACATGAATTGCACCTAAACGAAAAAAAAAAAAAAACAGGGGCTTGTTATTTCCCTCACGTGAGAATAGGGCTCGTAAATAGGTGGGTAAGGCCAGGTTAGGATTGAGTTAGAATGAGTCACATGGGTTAGGTTAAAACAAGTCACAAGTTAGTAAAAGCTAACCCTAACCCGCCTGATCATGGGTTAACTTGCAGTTGAACCTTTTTTCTATTTTTTTTTTCTTTTCAAAAGGGGTTTGGAATGCATATTAACATCCTGCAAACATACAGCCTGATCATGATGTATATAAATAAGTCTATATTTGATATGTTCAAGAACATGATACACACACAATATATGCTATATGCTTCGTTCTCCATAGGTTCAACCCCCCATCTCTCCCTTTTTCAAAATATATATACACTGTACTTCAGACTTCAGAGGCTAATAAAAAAGAAAAATGAAAAAACTTTATCCCATGGCAAAAGCATGCACTTAATTAATCATGGGAGTAAGAAGTATCATATCATGTTTTATCTTGGTTTCATAATGATCAAAAGGGTAAGAATTTCATAGGATAACTTGGAAGGTGAATACGATGTATATCCATAGTAGGTTAGATGGAAAAAGACCAACAAATATACAAAATAGTAAAACTGAAATGATCAGAGAATATGAGAGGATCAAAGATTCAAAGGGAGGAAGCTGGTGTAGTGAAATTAGGGATTTGGCTTTAGCTTTTAGAATGGGAAATAAAATTAAACAATAAAACAATATAAATAGATAATAATTTTAAATAAATAAAAAAAAAAAAAGATGGGTTAAATGGGTTAGCCATTGACCTACCAGATCAATTGATTATTGACCCATGACCCTTCAAATTTTCTTAACAAGTCATTAACGAGTCTCAAGTTAAAAATATCTGACTCTAACCTGTTTTAAATAGGCAGGCCACAGGGCGGTTAAGTTGGGTCAAGAATTGCTAGCTGTACGTGAGAAACCTATTACTTGGGGATTCTCCAAAGGTTAGAAAAGAACTGAGAGAGGTAGACATTGGGCTTGAAATTCCATTAGTCCAAGGGTAGGATCTTTGTTATTTGTGAAGGCTTTGAATCAGATAGATTCAAGATGTATATGAATAGAAAAACTCAGCAAAAGTGGGAAACTCAACCCAAAAATTCAACAAAGAATTCGAAAATAAATAAATTGAAAAAAGGAATTGATCATTACAGAACGTTTTGTTAAGTTATTTCATTTGAACAAATTACTGTCTTTTTGTTAGCTAAATGTTGCTGAACAAAAGTGAAATTAATTTTGGATGGGTTACTATTCTTTGTGGTTGGAATTTTAATAGATATTGCAATTTGAGATGATAGAGATGACATTGGTATATGTAAAGCTTTGATTTTTTTGGCTAGTATTGCAAGTCTTTATTTCATTTTGTTTGTTCCACTATCTCAATTTTGTTGTACTAGATATCTCTTCCTCATTTCTTTCCGGTGAAAAGATATATAATTTGTGATCTTAAAATCAAACAAGGAAAAATAAATAATAATGGTACAGTGTTATCAACTATTACTAGTTAACTATAAGAATTTATAGTTCAAATTTTTTGTATCAAATATTGATCTTAGTATATGTGCAATGTATTTAGGGAAAAACTGAAAAGCTATCAATTCGGCTATGAGGATTTTAATGTGTGGTAAGGTGGTGTTGTTTCTTTCATTCATTTATTGAATATTCACCCTTTTTTTCTTTTTTCCTTCTGAAATTCTTGCGTTTATTTTTCACATACTAGTCAAGTCATCAATTATTCTTTGCCCTACATCTGCCATGTCATCACCTAACATAATTGTATTTGGGAGATAACGGAGAGGGTTAACGGATAGTGTTAAAACATAGTTGAGTGATTAAATTTACAAATTTAAAAAGAGAGTAACTGAATTAAAAGTTATGATAAAAGTCAGTGACTAATTGTGTAGTTTACCCTAAATCCAACCTTAGGATTGCAAAACCTACACCATTATACCGTTTTTTTTTATACACCATTACACTATTGAGGTTTTTTTTTATCTTAATTACACAATGAGAGACAAATCTCTCATATCCTTTATTTTACCTCACTTGCATGTTATACATCTTAAATTCAAAATTTTTTTTACTTTTAACAAAAAAGAATTACTACTAAACTGTTCATGTTATTGGTTACATCATTGAGCTTTAGTTTGAGAGTATTGCACTATA